ATATGTACATATAAAATGAACATCAGGAAAGAGTTATTGAATTATTCTGCAGATATAGGTAAAATATAGGTAAGGCTTTGGCGAAATTTGAAAGAGCAACTAATATTCTTCAACCTGGTATTTTTTATAGATTTTATTTTTCATTCTATTCGTCTGTTTTTTTCCAGTTTAAAAAATGTGAGCTGGCTGGAGCCTTCATTCCTTGTCTATTTCTTACACTAGATACCTGCCGATACCCCCCCCCCCGCTCATAGAGTGCGTACAGTTGGCCATAGTTCCTGTGCTTCACTGAGTCAACTGAGTCCTGTAAATTAATTTTGCACAAAATTCAAAATGGGAAAGCGAACCATACTCCAAATGAAATATGATATAAAAGTCCTCGGATATTTGTTACGCAATGCGAGCATCAGTACACGATTACGTGAGCGTTGATCTTTCCGAATCTGTGGTAATTGTTCTTGAACAATATTAGTGAAATGAATGGACAGTCCAAAAGCAACAATAATCCATTTCATCATAACGATTGTTTTTCATATTTCAATAAATTATTAAACTCAAATGTTTCGAGTGAAAGCAACAAAGGCGACGCAAACTTGAACTTGGATGAAGAAAATAATGTTTGCAATAATGGGTTGGGCAGACCTTTATCATGATGAATACAATACAATCTGCGAAAAACAATGAAGCATCAGCGGAGAATAAAATATGTACCGAAATATTTAAAATTGGTCAGTTTTACCTAATAGTGCCATCCTTAAAGGGCGGTTGTCGTCGCGCCACGCTTGCGCGAGATATATGAGTCTCATATAAACAAAAATGTTACCAAGCTTTAATGAGATACGTTTTAGGTGAATGGAAGGTATCGAAGGAGTCACCGGTGGTAATTGGTGCAAGTCGCGCCCAGGTCAAAACTCGCATTTGTGATTTTCATTAGAAGAGCGCATTGGATTGTGGGAAAATCAATGTTATCAACACAAATGTCGCACATGCGCAGCGCGATGACCACCGCCTTTTAAATTATTCAACACTGTTTATGTGTCCAATAGCTCCCAAAGTCTTGAAGTCCTGTTATACTAGTTCCATTTATCGTATTTATCTTTGAATACTATCTGTATCATAACGAATCGCGGGGAATTGAAAATAACATGAAAACAGAAGAGTGAGAAGCAAAACCTACTTTCTACATACTCTGTGGACCTGACCGCGTCTGGTACGACGGTTTATTCAAAAAGTTATTAAAATATAGCCTTACAGGCAATATGTATGAAACAATATTGTAACAGTGCACAGTGATGCATGGAAGGTACCGTTAGTACCGTTAGTACTTTCCATGGTTACATACTAGCACAAGGTAATAAACCAAGGTAGAACTAACAAAGAGATTTCATCCCCAAACAGGAGTAAAACAAGGCTGCAAGTTAAGCCTAACATTATTTAATCTTTTTATCAACGATCTGCCAGATATCTTTGATTCAAACACATGTGACCCTCCAACTCTCAAGGAAACACCAGTCCGCTGTCTTATTTTTTTGAAAGCAGCGAAATAAACCTGACTAATATAAAAACTATTTACTTAACTCGGAGTCACCCTGAGCTCTAATGGAAAATTTAAAGAAGCACTAGCAAATATAAACAGAAAGGGGCAAAAGGCTGAAAGTAAAATGTGGATATAAACTAAATATAAAAATAACTCCATTACTTTCCCTGATTGATAAATTAATCCGGCCAACTCTACCATAGGACAGCAAGGTTTGGGACATGAATGCTCGCACAAGTCTGCCATTGAAGGGATCCATACAATCTACCTCAGATATCTTCCAGGTTTTCCCAAAAATACACCAAAAATGGG